TTCCACCCCCTCAGTGAGCTTCCATGGCAGAGCTGGCGAATCGAACCCATGTCTCTTGAGTCCTAGTCCACTATCATATCCACTACATCTGTAATTATTAGGCTTATCTTGTTTAAAAATTATTTTATTATTTATTATTATTTTTTATTTTTTTATTTACTTTCTGCCTAACTGTAACCAAAGGCAAACATTAGTAGCACTTGTTTCATTTGTAAAAAAAAGAATGGTACTCCTGTCCTCTGAAGATGCCGGCCACAGAGACTGGCGAAACATTAAGAATAACCTTCAGAACATGGCCAAAGAGCCCGAAAAACCCACAACAACCAATATGTAAAAAGTTCAACCTCATGGCTTGTAAGAATTGCAACTTTAAAAATGTTAATTATTCCAAAACTTTTTTTCTTTTTTCAGCAAATGTTTGAGAGAATACCATTAAGCTCCTACATAGGTGGTATTCAACACCTACAAAATTAGGTTACATTTAAAAAAGATTAAAATAGAATGTTGGAAGGGAAGCTGGTAAAGAAGTTGGTATATACATGATGTTGGTTTTGTCTTTAGTAACAAATGTTTGGGAAGAAGTTGGATAAGGAATATGTAAGATAATAAAACTTAATTTAGTTTTGACACCAGAATTAGCACTTTTAAATATTTTTACAAATGAAAACAAGGCTGCCCCACATAAGGATCTGATTTTCCCTCCTCTTTAATAGCTGCTTGAGTTAAGATAGACAAAAGATGGAAGGCTAGTGCAATATTACCTAGTAATATTTGGTACGAAAGAGTATGGACATTAGCCCTTGCCGAAAAGATAACACATGAAATAGATAGCAATCCAACATACACTGACAAATTTATAAATTTATGGATTGCTTTCTGTAGTGGTTTATAGACAGGAGTACCAACCAAAGGGTGAAACCACCTGCAGTGTACTTTGATACTTGGAAGGGTTAAAGTTGATGAAATGAAATTTGATATTAGAATTTAAGTACAGTAATAACACTGATGAGGTGAGATTTTGGAGTTTTCAAGTTAAACTTGTGTATATGTGTTTTTCAAACAGATGTATGGCAATATTGTGATTTCAGGCTTTTGGTGTATGTGTAGAATACTATGTATATTTGTAAATTGGTTTTTTATTTTTTAAAAAGTATGCATCTAAGTCCTTTCTCTTTCTGGAGGCAGATTTTCAGAATCATAGTATCAAATGTGAAGTTGTAAGCATAGAGCCGAGTTTACTTAGCCTTGCTGACGCTTGGGTTGACTCTTACTGATTTATTGGTTTTGTTTTTAGTTTCATTTTATGTGGCTTACAATATAAAACCCTAAATGAATAATTAACAAAACTAACCAAATGCAACTAAAAACAAAACCAATAAAATCAGTAATGAGGAACAAAGGCAAGAAAAAAAAGTAAAGACAGTCAAATAATGATGAAAAATGAGTACACTTAAGTCAGGCAGATGCAATGATTTAAAAAAAACATAGAGAAAGCAGATCAAAACAGATGCTACATAACAATTTAGAAAACAAAAAAAATTGATCTCAACAAAATTGTGCTGCTGGAGTGATTTGTGCAAAAAAAATTGATCTCAACAAAATTGTGTTGCTGGAGTGATTTGTGGAAGGGAAGGTCTAAAGACAGAATTCATAGGCCAAGTGGAGTGGAATTCTAGCTGAAAGAAAGACTGAGTGTCCAAGAAATCCATATGAATATTACTATAGCTAGGAAGATAGGCTAGCCCCAGCATAGGTAAAAAGCTGCAGTAAATTTTTAAATATTTCATTTGGCTGTCTGCATACAAAGATTTGTAATCTGTCATAAATGATTTTAGAGAAAAACTTAAACCAGTAGAGAACACTTTGATGTTCTGACAAGGGGAAACAGTTTGAAACAAAGGAACTGTATGGATACAGTTCAGAATGAACCAGCTGAACAGCAGTTCATTAAAAGACTCGGCTCTGTCTCTTGGGAGATGACTTGCTAGAGTTTCTGAGAGCTTTGTAGGGTTCCTTGTTGCTAGGTGCCATCAACTCTGAACCGACTTACAGCAACTCTAATACGGCTTTCAAGTTAAGTGAGATATTTAAAAAGTGGTTTCACCAGTTCTCACATGCCCACTGAGCTTCCATGGTTGACTGTGGATTCAAACCTTGACCTCCTGAGTCCTAGCTTATCCTTCATTCACTGTGCCACAGTGAGTTTCTCAGGGTGCCTTGGCAGAACACAATTTGAGAATCACTGATAAACAGCCCTCAAGCGCCAGAACACATAGTGATGGCATACTAGATAGAAGCCGGCAGGTGGCACTGTTACCCGCATATTCCAATAATCCAGTGCTGGTTGCCATGCGGGCTTTTTTTTTTTTCTTTCCTGTTTAATAATTAAATAGTTTTCTCTTCAGAAACCTAGTTCTATATACTGGTACATGCCTTTTGTTTCAGTTTTTAATCAAAGAAACAAAGGTGTTTAACACTAAATGTTAGGATACTTGGGCTTTTAAACTTGGTCTACACTTAGCATCTGATGAAGTAATATGAACATGGAAATGGACAAATCAGTTTTCAGGCCAAGACTAACCACATTTGGCACAAAGCAATTTTCACTGTTAGTGGTTACTTCTTGGTACAGATGCATGGGACTGCAACTTTAAATGGGCTTACTTTCCTATAGCAAATGGGGAAAGCTGAAAGTTGCAGGAAAAGAGGAAGACTGAATATTAGGTAGATTGACTCAATAAAGGAAGGCATGGTTGTATCTATTAATGATACAGCGTTTTGAGGTCACTAATTTATAGGGCTGCCATGAGTTTGAAGTGACTTAATAGTCCATAACAAATAGGAAACTGCTTTATACTGAGACCACCGGTCCATCTAGCTTAGTATTTTCTGCAGGGGCGGGGAACTTATTTATTTACTTAAAATATTTATATTCTGCCTTTCTCCAAAATTGATTCAAGGCAGCTTTGAGTCTGGGGGCCAATTTCAGCCCATCTGGATCCCCTCATCAGAAGTACCTTTCAGCTGCCATAAATGTCCCCCCCCCCACTTTAATCAGCAGAAAACAACTTCATGCAAAACCAGTGAATGCAGGGATCAAGTGTCTTGCTCTAGAAAAGATTTGATCTTTGTCCAGGTCTTTAAAGTAATACGTGCCCTCTCCCTGTGTCTTGTCTTAGTGAGAAATGAGAGCTTTAGAAACTGTCTGTAACAACCCCAGACCTACTGGAGTATCCCACCCTGTAGTTATGCTGCCACCAACCATTCGCTCCACCAAGTCACCCAGACCAGGAATGGATTTTAATAAACAAACGAACAAGGGTTTATTGAAACAACCAACAGGGTAAATAAAAGGATCAGGTAAATAGGATACTGGAACGTGGTATAGTCCCAATCGTACACATACAACAGATTGGTTCCCACGGAACACTTTAAGGTAACGCACAGACCCTGAACCTATCAGTTCTGGCTACCTAGAGAGAAACCTGAACCTATCAGGTATGTACTTTCTGACGAACAGTTGTACCCAGTCTGCCCCACAGTCTGACCCACAGACTCCAACTCCACTTCTCCACACCAGCTCCCCTACGATGGACTTCCCCCAAAGATATATACAGTACAGCTCCTCCCCCCTGATGTCCCGCCTTCCACTCCCCATAGGATGGAACTTTCCCTCCAAACCCCTGACAGACAGGTACCATCAGTGCTGCATGTGACACTGTCCAACTGGCAAAATCAGTACAGTAGTGCTCTGGGGAATGCAGAACTCCTAGGAAAGCACAGGTCACCCTACTTGGGCCATATGGACTGACAAGAGCTTCAGGAGGAAGTGTTTCTCAGTTCTACATGAAGCTCTTCCTCTGAACTATCATCATACTCAAATGTACGGAACAATAATTATTTATATGTTTTTTCAATCTGTCTCTTAAGAAGCTGGAGAAAGAGGAGGGCAAGGCTCCTCTCTTCCTATTTTATTACTGCAATAGCCCCATGCTGTGGGTTAAGTTGAGGACTTCTGACTGGTCCCTGCCACTGTCGAGTTGTGTCCAAGTGAGGATTTCAGTTTGTGTTTCCTTGATCCCAGTCCGATATTCTTCCCACTAAGCAGGTATCCCCTAATGAAGTGCCCACTACAGTGGTCCTCAACCTTGAGCCTCCAGATGTTCTTGGACTTCAACTCACAAGAATCCTGGCCAGCAGAGGTGCTGGTGAAGGCTTCTGGGAGTTGTAGTCCAAGAACATCTGGAGGCCCAAGGTTGGGGACCAGTGCACTACACTGCTGGCAGGAAGACAACAGGAGTTGTAGCTCAACACAGCTGGAAAACAACAGGTTGTGGGAGGCTGTGCTAAGTAATGTCTGACTGGTTCTGCTGAACTGGATTTATTCTTAACGCACCTAATCAACATCAGTTCTGACGTGCACAGGACAAAGACAAACTCCGAAACAAGCAAGCAGAACTGCTTTCCTTGTTTGTTGCGGTCTCTCTTTTTTTAGGAATCTGATCTTCATCTTTGTTTCTGGAAAGGAAAATTAAGCAGGAAAACAGGACCAGCCGTGTGAAAGTTTTCTGAACAGCAGCAAATCCTATACAATAGTGTTTCCTTATGTTGGGTAACCCAGGTACCCTTGGACCGCAACTCCCAGAAACCCCGGGCAGCACAGCTCATGGTAAAGGCTTCTGGGAATTGCAGTCCAGGAACACCTGGGTTACCCATTGTTCCAAAGACTGGTATACAAGCTCTTTGCAACTGTCAGTCATCTGCAACCTCGTCAATTTTCCCGGCCAGGCGCCGCACCGGGTAGTGCCCGGGCTCATTCTAAGCAAGGACCAAAAAAAGAGCAGGCTTTCATTAGTAGGCTCGCTTTCCTCTTCTTTCCTCTTCGGAAGGCCCGCCTAGACACCTCCTCCAATCAAGGCGCCCGGATTCTCCGTTGCTGGGCGACCCTGCTGTTCCGCACGGAAGTTTGCGTCGCCTAGGAGACAGGGACGCTCCGCGTGGGGATGTCCGCCCGGGCAGAAGCCGGCATGGCTACCAAGGGGAGCGACGATCAGGGCGGGTGGGCGACGGGGGAGGCTGCGGCCTCCCGGGACGTGGCCGGTGTGCGCCTTACCCCGCCTGAGCTGCGCTTCGTCGACGCTGTTCCCGGGGGTCGCTACCGGGCCGTGCTCAGTGTACAGAACCTGCAGACCAACAGCTGCTTCCTTCACTTGGTGCCTCCGGAACGGCCTCAGGTGGGATGAGAGGGACGGGGAAGCGGGGAGCCCCCTTCAGGGGCAGGATTGGGCCCCGCCGGCCGCTCCTTCCTCTCGTCCTCGGTTCCACGGACCCCCTTTTAGTTCTCCTTGGAAACAATCTTTGATGCAAACATCCCTCCTTTCGCAGCATGTCTGGTTTCATTCAGGAGGAGTGGTTTCCTAGTGCGGTGTGTGTGTGTTGTTGTCGTTGTTGTCCCGATCCATATTGATAAGCCAAACAAATACTGTAAGTTAAGCCCCAAGTGGAGTCACATTTAGCAATAAAGATCAGTTTTGCATGTACAGTACGTCTTAATATTTTTAGGGAAAAAGGGGAGGGGGGACATCAAAATGGCTGTTGAAATGGATTGGTTCCTTCTGAAAAGCCACGGCTCTTCCCCGCTTCATAGCATAGTTACTCCTGTATACTGTATTCTGGACGGGTTTTGATCCTTTCAGATTTGTTTACAGTGAGAGATATACCTGGCTGTAATTGAAAGTGAAATTGACAGCTATAGGTAAAAAGACAGGACCAAAATAAAATTTTGAAAGAGTTGAGCTAGAGCATAAAGGTGTTCAGTGTATTGTTAACTGGACGATAGTCTAGTGATGCTCTGCTTCCTGGGAGCATCTGAATTGCGTGCATGTAGGTATACAGTTCTGTCTTGTGACACAGTTTCTTTAAAATATGTTGAGTAAGGATGCAATAGGTGAAGTCCCCATCAATAGGTTGTCTAGTTCTCTGCTTCTGATGCTGTCACTTATATGTGCTTGCTCTAATGTAGTTGCTCTCACCTCCATTTTCCATTGAAACTAATAGAAAACCCCAGGTTCATAAACATGTAAACTTTGTACATTTTTTTCTGAAGAGAGCCATTCTACTGTATCTGCCAGTGGTGAATTGCAGAGTAATAGTTCCAGTCAAAGTTTGTTGTTAATTAACATTTATTTGATATGCAATACATATTGTCATGGTAAAATAAAGTGGAATTTGTTTGTTGGATTGAGTATAGAATGATTTGGTTAATTCATTATTTGTTTTGCAGTTCAAACTGATTGTTGAAAATCCAAAGAAACCACTTGCTTCCGGTCTTCACCTAACAGCCACTGTGGAATACTATCCAGACACTGAAGAAAACCTCCGGGACAGGATACTTCTTCATGCAGGAAAAAAGATAGTTGAGATTCCTGTATTAGGGTATGAGATGGCAACATATAATTATATTGATTAAGATTTGGTCTAATCTTTTGATAATGATGTATTTTAAAAAAAAGCATTACCGTCTTAGAAGATTAGCAAATTTCTGAGCAATGTTGAGAAAAGAGTAATGTTTCCTGTATGCCATTCTTGTGTCTAAAAACTATTATGTGGAAGTGTCTTCATAGATCAAACTGCTGGCAATATTAATATGTTATTTGGTTGATATGGGTGAGAACATGAGCTTCTATGTAGAGGTGTTTTTGTTTTAGTCAGAATGGTTGTAAATAAGACAGGATACTGTAACTGGGACTAAGCCTTATGGCAGCAAATTTAGAGGGTGAGGCCACAGTGATTGCCCTCTCCTCTCCTGATTTTTCTCAAAGGTGAAGAGCTAAAGGCAGGCAGCCCTGCAGTCCAGGCTTGCTCATTTGCAGCTGGTAGTAGCTTGTGGCACCCTATCCCCAGACTACACTCAGCCACCCTCTTTGCAAACCCCTGGATGCCACTGGAAAAGAAAATGCAGTGCATGCCACTGGAGAGAAAAGAAAAGGCAGCTGTTGCAATTCTGCTTCTACATTGACTGTTGGTTTCTAGAGGAAGTCCTGAAGAGCAAGATGTGATGGGAACACAGGTAGCCTCGGAAACAACACTTCCCACTATAACTGGCTTCTTGTGACCTCCTTGAAACCAGCCATCAAAGGAGAACAAGGTGATCAGAAAGTAGAACAGATGCCTCTTCTTGTCTCAAAATGACTTGAAGACTACTTTGTCACATGATTGCTTTCCTAATGGCTTGGAAAATAATTTCCCTAAATTAATTATATTCTTTGGCGTAAGCACTCCACATTGTGATCTTGTCAGCATTGTGGGAGTCCTGGACAAGAGGCTCTGTAGTCCCCATCGCCTCTGTCTGCTTGGCTGTCTTGATTTCTTCCTTATCAGGCAGCCTGACAAAAGGGTTTGGTTCCCCGCCTCAAGGAAGTCAGTGTATTTCCACCTCCTTCACTCCCATTAACAACAGTTGTGGCAATAACTTATTTCCTCCTTTGTTTCATTTACTCTTTACAGAAAAGGTAGGCCAATGTGTAGAGTGTAGATTCAAATGAATCTACCACAATCATTTTTCAAGAGTGCTTCTGGCCCTTCAAAAGCGTAATATGCTCACAATGCCTGATCCTAGTTACCATTATAGCAGTCATATTCTGAACTATTTACAGCTTTTGAATTATCTTCAGAGGCAGCCCTTTATATAAAGACGTCTTCCTGGAGTTAGTGGAGCGTGGGTCACTGCGGTTCAGGCTATGTACACAGGAAGAGAAGTATCGTGGAACTGGCCTAATGTGTTCTCTGCTGTTGAGGAAACCTGATTTTTTTTTTTGAGTATTGCTGTTAGATTGCGTACCATTCTGTGATAACCTATTTCAGCAGTTAGATCTGGTATATACATTGTAATAGGCACAGCTATGTGAAAGTCATGATCCTGCAATGTGATCCTGGTCTTTTTCACTAAAATATGCAGTGAGTTAAACATTTAATGTAATCCTATACTGTATTTGTTTCATCAAAAGGAAGGTGTGCTGATTTTAGAAGGATTTAGTTCGAGGTACGTGTGTACAAGAACATAGCCTAAATATTGATCTTGATGAGGTACAGCTTTGCCTAATTCTCACTGTATTGTACCCAACATAACTTATAGCAGACATCATAAATTCATCTTATATTGATAACGACATAAACATTGTTTGGACTTTCAGCTTGCTTATTATTTGCTGAATCGTGTTGAATACTTTTACTTCAAGCATAGATATGTCAGATCTATTCATTTTCTGATGCAATAAAGAGTTTAAAACTAATTAAAATATAATTGCAGTTCAACGTGATTTAATCCAATAAAATTGAACTGTCCTTAAGTTACCATAATTAAGAAAACACACTGACATTTTAATAACCCTCTTCCATCTGCAGATGTTGTTGCTAAATTAGGTTGCACAATTAAATTGTGCAACTGTTGAAATGGTAGGAAAGCAGTTTTTCTACTTCAAATACTTATAAAAAA